GAGATGCTGGGTTACATATAGAACTGCATTCTCACTGATATCTCGTACATTTGCATATAAAATTTATGTGCATGTACAAGTGAAGATCCCACTGAATCTGTGTGTTTTGATAAGTCGTCAAGAAAAGATGGAATAAATAAGCCTGTTAGTTGCTGAGCCTAGTGGTTGTTACAGGCATGTCTCTCAAATGTTTCTGCACAGAACCAAAGTTTCTGACGGGAAGAGCCATTTATTAAACCATTCCATTATTTTGGGAATAGATAGGACTGATGCTCAGAATAAATTAGCAAAATTAAACAATCTAGATTGTCAAAAGCCCATCTTAATTATCTAAAGCACGAGTAATACTGTTTCTCTTGTAAAGACTTGTTACTGTATTGGTAAAACACTATGTGTGTACATATATCTAAATGAATATATTTGAATATTGCTGATATCTGGTTTTCTGAGCAGAAAAACAGATCTCAAAACCTGTTCTCTTACCTAAGTTTTTATCTTAACACTCTGGAAAGCAATTTTACTAACAAAAGCTGACATTAGGATACCAAATTAAAAGCTGATGAAAACTAGGAAAATAAAAGACTTTCTTTTTTTTGACATTTACAATTAATGCCACAAAAATGTTAGTTTAATCAGACAATATGGGTGCTTACAAAGGTGAAATTGAAAGTTGCCAACCCTGAATGCTCGCGTAAAAGTTAATAAATTCAGCTCGTAATCATTATGCACATGCTAGTTATAATAATTTACTGTCCATACCAAATCTTTATAAGCATTGTAATTAAATATAAAATGCACATTAGAATTATAATGAGTAATTAGGGCAACATAACTAATGTGCATAAAAGTCCCAATGCTCATTAAAATGTAAAAAGGGGAAACCTGCTCTAGCTGGAGTTTTAGCATGTTCCCTGTGCCTGTGAATGATAGGGATTGTTTTAACTGTTGCCTTAGGCATTTAAAAGCAAAATGAAACTACCTGGAAGGGGACCAGATTCAGCAGGACTTTGAGTCATTTCTGGATGGAACTGAAGTTGTAAAATTTGGTTTTCCAGCACAAACGCCTGAGTCACGCGAAGGTGTTGGGGAACAAAGACGTGCAGAATCAGAATCATAGAAAGGTTTGGGTTGGGAGGGACCTTTAAGCTCATCTTGTCCCACTCCCTGCCACGGGCAGGGACACCTTCCACTAGACCAGGTTGCTCCAAGCCCTGTCCAGCCTGGCCTTGCACACTGGACTTTGTAGGGTGAGACCTGCACGGGCCCCACGCAATGACACCAAACCCCAGGCGAGCCTGGGGACATCTGGCATTGCCTCCAGTGCCTGTTGGGTCCAACTCCTCACTCACACACTTCTTATGACAGATCCCTCATGTGGGGATACATAAATATGTATTTCTGGGGAATAATAAATATGTATTTTGGCTCAAGCCCAGCCTTCCCTCCTGAGCCACCTCACACAGGGACAGACGTGAAGGGTGTTGGTGAAGCTCCAGTGAAGCCACAGCTCTGACACCCTCTCCAAATAACCTTTCCCAGCAAAGCACTCACATAGATTTGAGAAATGGATATTAAATAAGTTCCAGTAATGTATTTCCAAGTCAGAAATTAGGCATTTGTTTTAAGAACCTTTCTCCACAGGGCTGAACCATGGGAGAGGATTAAACAAGGATCCACTGAGGGAGACTAAACCTACAAACATGAGCCACAGAAGCCCAGTGCTGCTGACAGATTTGTAGTAATCATATTCTTTTCTCTATTATTTTATATAACCATTATTTAGGAGATATAAAAATGACAAATACCTTTAAAATTATTAGTCTTGCATGAGCTTTTCTTGTTAACATCACTGTTCAATTTGACTTGTCTGGGATAATCCCCACCTTGGGAACTCAGCAGGGGCTTCACCCCTTCCCTCCTTCTGCAGCCTCTGCCAGGTTTCCCTCTCTCCTGATGCTCTGTACCTTTGAGACAATGTGTTACTTTCTTGCTGGCTTGTTTATTATTATTTATAGTGAAGGGCTCAGGCACAAGGCTGTGTCTGAAACACAACGGGAATCTCTTCCCACAGAACTTGTGGAGGGGAAACCCAGTGAAGGCATTAGTTGTAGGAGTTGGAGAGAAGACTGCAGCTGGAGCCTCACCTGTCCCACACCTCAGAGGATGCCAACAGCTGCAGCTTGACTGACAGCAATAAAATCAGCTCCCAAATATCTCCTCAAAAATGAGTCTTTCTGACTGCGTAAAAAAACTACACTAAAATATATATATATAATAGTGATGATCTGAGAATCTCTCCCAGGAGTTTGTCTCTTCCCTTTCCAAAGCAGACCTTGGCAGTGAGAGCAGCAGGTTTTAGGTGTGTGATTTCAGCTGGAGTATCTCAGTCTCCCACCCCCATGGCAGCAGGTGGGTCTGGTGGATTTTTGGCTCAACTCATTACTAATCAGTGGTCCAGGAACACACCTGCATCAGACTAAAAACAATAAAATAACCTGACAGTGCTAGAGAATGGTGGCTCCAAGCAATCCCTGGGTTGTGTTTCCATACCTGTATTAACTAGGGATTTCCTGGAGCAGGGAACATTGGTTTTAATTCTAATTCTGAAGAAACAGAATCTGAAATCCTTCTGAAAGGGAGATCTAAGAAAACTCCCTCTTCAGAAATTTTCCAGTAGTTTCCAAACAGAAACCTCACCAGATAGCAAAGCCTGGAATCGTTGCTTATAGCTGGGATGCGGCTGTAATCCCTTCCCAGCTGCAATGGGAGCACAGGGCCTGGGGCTCCTGCCTGAAGAAGGAGCAGCAAGCTGTACATTTTTATGCATCATTTCATTTTAAAACATATTGTCAGTGATGTTCTGCATTATGTAAAAAGCATCCAAAGCAAAAAAATCCCTAAAAACCACACAAAACACCAAGCAAAAGGTGAGTAGACCCCAGAGGTAGCATGAAGGTGGTATATTTTAGAAAAAAAACCTTTGTACACGACTCAGGCCTTTTCTTGTCTCTTATTCGCTCTTCCAGTGGTCACATCTGTCATACGACTTGAGTGAAGAAGCGGGAACGCTTTACATATCCCTGTTATTTTTATGGATTAACAAAACCAATCTGTGTTTTATCCTATGCACATTATGCAGAAGTAGTCCTGCAAATTGTTTAAACACTTATTATCTCCTGGAAATTTGAATGTTACCAGTTGAAAGTTAATGAGTTTCTGGGTTGGTTTGTTGTAATCATCAGGTGTGTGATGAGGGAACCTGCCTATCACTGTTTTGTCATAGACCTGATGCTTCTTTAGTGGCAGGTTTGTGTAAAATATTCAGATCTCTTAAATTGTGTCAGAAATGAGGGGTTTGACTGTTTAAAGAAACACCATCAAAGGTATTGGCGAAAGCAGGATTAATTTGAATTTGTGAAATGTGACTTTACAGAGTTGGGTGTCAAGAGTTGCTCTGTTACTGCCCATGTTGAAGCACACACGGGAAGGTCAGATCAGAAGCCATTTGGAATGACTTACACAGAAGCTGGGAATGCAAAAGGGAGTGCAAAGGGTATGGGTGCAAAGATAATGCTGCCAAAGGGTTTAGCAGCACTGAATCACTGAGCACTTTAACATTTACAAAGCGATTCCATAGGTTTGCTGTAATTATAAAAATGCCTTAACTCTGGATTTGGGACAGGAACATTCATCCCAGAATCAATTCCCATGCACGCTGTTAAAGCCCTGTGTGCTTCTGTTTCCAGATGTGTAAAGGCACCTATGGAAAATTCCCCTGTGTTGGTTCTGAGTGTTCCCACCTGTACCATGCATGAGCTCCTGGTGGGATCAGGGAGTGTCTCAGGCTCCACTGGGACAGTCAAGGGATGTTTCAGCACTCAGATGGTTCTGTCAAGGTTTATCAGGAGCTTCTGAGGTCAGGTCTGAAGGTGGGGTGGGGATGCACCACGACAACACAGACAATGAACGGTGGGTGAGATGGTGCAGAAAGCAGACGTGAGGCAGTCAGAGCTCCACATGAACATAAACACCTTGAAGCAACATCTGGAAAACTGCTTGGGAAAAAGTAAACAGATTTTTATTTATAAGTTCTGTGGTTTGTTTTTTATAGTGTTTTGATGATGCACATAAATTATTGTATCAAACTAGAAAACATAAAAGAAATTCCAGGGGGGAGGCAGTTGTTCCCTTTGATAATCTCTTTCCTGAGGAATTTGCTGTGTTTTATTTTCAGCTCACTGTTGCCTTTTGCTGGCAACTGGAAAACCTGACAATGGCTTTTTATCTTTATTTGTATCTGTGGTTCTAAGCTCAAAATGTTCATTACTATTTACAGTGTTTACTATTTAAAAAGACAAAATACATTTACTAAAACAATGCTATATCCAGTGCAATGCTGGGAAAGTCACTGTTCTCTGAGATTGATGTGTGGGTTATCATCTTGAAGGTTTATTTCTTAAATATGCAAAGCAAGAACTCAAAGGCCACCTGAGCTCCAGGGTTTATGTGCTGTTTGCAGGTGTCATGATGCAGGATGTAAGAGCTGCTGGAACTGGGGACCCTGTGGCCTGGGCACTGCCTCGGCACTGCTGTACCCCCCCAGTGCCAGGGGGTTCTCGGCTGAGCCCAGTGGGAGCCTCTCAGTGCACCAGTGTTGGGGTTTCATGTGCTTCTTTCCAATTCCCAGGATTTACATGCATCTTGTATGACACTAATGCTTACAGTTGTGGTTTACACTGAGTAACTGTTGGACAACCAGCTTTTTTTCAGGATTGGATTGATATCTCTCCATGTCTCAGTTGTGTTTTTACACCAAACACATAGGACAGATCTCAGAATCTGCGGTGTGGGGTAATTTTGACTCTTCTGGAAGCAAACGTGGTTGAATGTGAACCAAGCTGGATACCACTCGCGCCAGGCCGAGCGCGCCGAGGAGCAGCGGCACTGAATGATCTGCGTGTCCAGATGCCAACATCCATTTTACAATTCTTTTCTTTCAGTTGCCCCCACAATTCAGGAACTTAAATCCAGCGGTGTGGTGCTTGGAGGGAACGGCCTGATACGGTGCGAAGGTGCAGGAGTTCCTGCCCCGAACTTTGAGTGGTACAAAGGAGAGAGGAAGTAAGTAGCCGGTGCTGCCGGGGCTGTCGCCTGCCCGTGGGGACCAGGGTGGAAGAGAGAGGAGCTGCCAGGCTGGGGTTGTCCCCATGGTGACAAGTCCAGCAGCTTGGCCTGCAATCAATGCTGAGCTCCAGCAGCGGGTACCTGGAAGCGTTGGCTGTGCAGTTCTGGGGGAGCAGCTCAGTCTCCTCATGGTTGTATTTCCTGCTCTGGACACAGGCTGTGCTGGGCTCTGAGAGTGATAATTGCAATAACAAGCCTAACATTCAAATGTGCTTTAGTAATTACAGCCTCTTAAGTATAATAAAAAAAAGCACTGAAAAAGCTACTAAAAGGATTTTTTTTTTTTTAATTCATCTTCCCAGGTTTCCTGCTGTGGGTTTTGGGGTGGAGAGGTTGTTTCATGAGCAAGACTTTCAACCAAATCTTCCTGTGTATGGATTTTCACCCAGTTGTGCCACTGGTGGTCTAGACCATGGGTCTGTATTCCACAGAGCTCTGCAGGTCACTGCATCCAAGAGTGGATCCAGGGAGTGCTCCTTGCTTGAACCCTAGAAATTGATTCTAGGGTTTGTTTGCAGCCAGCTTCACTTCCAGGTCATTAGTGTTATGGAATGGTAACAGGAATCTCTGTAGAGTCAGCTTTATTTTAAAACCAGCTCATTAAACAGGTAGATATTTTCCATTTTTAATGGGATATTGGGTTTTTCAGCTCTTGGCTTGCCTAAGAGCTTATTTCTGGTACGTTCTCATGTCGGTGCAAAAGCAAGTGGATATTGTCCCTTGTAACTTAGTGTCAAGCTTTTGGAACTTCCCAGCTTCCAAGTGTTGGGTTTCTCAGCTCAAACATCCCCCTAAACCTGGGAGCTGACAGGAGAATATTAATGACCCTTTTTTACAGAAAGCCATCTGTCAGCTCGTTTCTCAGCTGCTCCCCTCCCTCAGCAGGAGCTGCTCCTCCTCCCTCTTCACTTTGCTGAGCAGTCATAGCTTTGCACTTCACCCTATCCTAAAACATTCTCTAAAACCTGACCTTTATGTGACAGGAACTGGTTTTCCTCTGTTGGTGAAATTCAGCTGCATCCTGTTTGCAGAGATGCCCGTTGTGTTGTGCTTATCCTGGGGGGAGTTGCAGCAGGAATATATTTTGTGTAGGAAATATTTCAGCGCAGTTTTAGCACTCTGGATTCAATCAGCCCTTTCCAGCATGCTAATCACCTTTCTATTTATAACACTGACCGAATTCCTTTCCCATGAGTGCACTCAGTGCCAAGGCAGCAGCAGGAAAAATGAAGCAGAGCATTTCAGGACACCAGAGTTGTGCTTCTGTCTCAGTTTCAGTTGGTGTTTCACCTCAGCAAGAACAGTACTGTCCTGTTGGGTTTTGCTGCTCAAATGCTGTGTTAAATCTAGCACTCCATCCTTTTTAGGAGTTGAACTTTAGTGATTCTTGTGGGTCCCTTCCAACTCAAGATATTCCATGAACTGTTGTTGGCAGATGGCTACAAAGGTTCTGGGGATCTCTGAAACCCCTTCACTTGCAGGAAGGAAGGAAATCCATACACGCTGTTTTTTCCTTCAGTATATCCCCTTTCCCTCTGGATGATGGGCAGCCACCACAAGATGAGCCTTGGGCAGCTCAGTCACTGGTTTAATGCAAAGCTCTCAGAGGTAGCTCAGAGTAGCATCTACATTATCGGGCAGATAATTTGCAGCTGTACTCCAAGACTACATTCATCCCCTGGGAGTGCACACCCTGCTGGATTTTCTGTTAACAGAATAGAGAGAATCCCATTTGCTTCAGATACTCTTGGACTGGGACTTGTGTTTTTGGACATCTGAAACTCTAAGTGTATGTTCAGTGTCTGAAACAAGCCTTTTGGGCCTGTAAACTGTATTGTTGTTACTTAGATTAATGTAAATCCAAACCCACCATTTCCAGACTCAAGGGATCATCTTCTCATAAAAGAGCCATTAAAGCTAAGCATAAATGCTGTAACAGACTACATTAAGTTAAAAATATTAGTCTTTGAGGCAGAGAGGCTAATTCTGCCTCGTCACTGAGTTCCCAAGGGCTGCTGTTCAATAACTTTCTATAGGTGCTGGTGCCCAAGGTGGGGTGAGCTGGGAAGAGACAGAAAATCTGGGGGAGAAGTTAGTAAAAGCATCTTAAAATTGTCATTGGTTTGGGTTGGAAGGGATCTTAAACCCGTTCAGTCCCACCCTCGCCATGGGCAGGGGCACTTTCCACTAGACTAGGTTGCTCCAAGCCCTGTCCAACCTAGCCTTGGACACTTCCAGGGATGGGGCTTTATAAATGTGTGTGGCTTCTAAAATTGTAGCAGGATTCCCTGTGGAGAGGAGAATGACTTCACTGTGCCAACTCCAAAATCCACGTCTGTTCAGTGTGTTATGTTTAGGGTTACACAGAAATTAGATCTCAGACATTAAACAGCCACAGGGAAGAAGCCCAAAAGTCACCTAAATAAAATATTAAAATATTAATTCCCTTTTCCTTCTCAAAGCAAACAAGACACACATTTGAAATAACAAAACTCATTATAGGGGCTTAATATATTATAATAAGGTGAAAGTATTCAAATTTGAAACCAAAGGCAGGTACCCCCTGGGGGCTGGCACTGATGCATGAGCTCTGGATGTGTGGGAGTAATCTCTGGAATAAAAAGGAAATCACTCTTCCTTTTCTAACTGATGCAAAGAAGAAAGGTGAAGAAACACGTGGGGTGGCTGCACACAACTTAAAATGCTGTTCCAGGCTAGGAAAGAACTTGGTGAAACCCAGACGAGTGATAAATGTGTGTTCAGTCAATAAACGAAGCTGAGCAGCACACGGGAGCAATTAATTTAAAAGTAAAAGCATCTGCTTCTCACAACTGCAAATGGAAACCCTCGGAACTGCTGAGTTTATGCAAACTAATGCCAGCTCCTCGCTCCATTAATTGCCTGGCTTATTGATATGCACATCTACTCAGTTTCATTTACTCCAGAACCTCCAGTCCTGGCCACCAGCATCAGCCACTTCCAGCAGGGACATGGAGGGACGGTGATGTGGGAGAAGTGGGAGAGGAAGGAGGGGCAGGAGTAAGAGGCTCTGAGCTGGCACCCACAGATCTCATCCTCTTGGCAGCCTGGGGAGGCAGCAGGTCAGAACAAGCAGACACAGTTATTTTTTGAGGCAAATGTCACCCCTGACAGGGCATGGGGACAGCAAAATTCCCACCCCTGCAATGTTTTCTGGACAATGAGTTAAACCTTACAACTATAAAATAGAGATGCTGTAGTTCAAATTGTGGTTATGGGCCAAAGGGGTGGAGGTGGCTTGGAAAGAACAGGTAGGAACCATGGAATCCCAGACTGGTTTGGGTTAGGAGAGACCTCAAAACTCATTTCATCCCACCCCCTGCTGTGGGTAGGGACACCTTCCACTAGACCAGGTTGCTCCAAGCCCCATCCAACTTGGCCTTGGACACTTCCAGGGATGGGGCAGCCACAGCTTCTCTGGGCAACCTGTGCCAGAGCCTTACCACCCTCCCAACAAAGAACAAGCCATAGGTGGACAAGGAGCTGTGATTCCAGTACCCCAGGTTTCCCTGGGAGAGGGGCAGGGATCAAACCCTGGAAGGCAGCAGGAAGGGATGGTGACCATGGCTGCAGCTCCTGCCCTCCCACTGTCACTGTGTGTGAACCACAGTGTGATGGGTGGGTTTGAGAGTGAAGGAGGCTCTTGAGATTGTCTGCATGAGAGGCAGGTAGCAAAGGGACATTGGTGGGTTTAGAAGAACATCCATGTGCATAGGCTGAATGGACAAACCTCTGCCTTGCACAGGAAGAGATGAATCTTCCAACTGCAGTGTTCACCCCAAACCAGGCACTTCAATCCCATTTCTTTTATATTTCATGCAAAACCCTGTGTGTCCATGGATTGTGCCATGTCCTTCCCCCAACCATGGGCTGGAGGAGCAGAGTCCCCTCCACCAACACAAGCTGCACAGGGAAAAGAAGTCCCCATGAGTGAGCAGCCTGTAGTGATACAGTGGGAAGAGAGGCACTCACATAATGATGAGTGTTCAACCCACAACATGCAGAACTGCAATTAATGACAAGTTTGTGAAGGTTTTTAGACAGAAAGGTAGAAGATTGCCTTAATTCCCAGGATATACCATTATATCTTCCAATATAGCAGACAAAAATTGTATTCTTAATCCAAAACTCTACTCCTGATGGGAAATATAAGGAATTAAGAGTAATAACCTAGCGAGTTTTTTAATAACGTGGTTACCCTTTTCATCTCCTTGTTTGATCAGACGTGGTTTGCCTATAACAACACCATTTAAGTTGGTCATCTGGCTTTGCCTCGGTGCACCAGCGATGATTCTGACATGGCTTTGGGAGCAATACCAAAACACTTCCACGGTTCCTGTTAAATTTGGGGTAGGAAGCTTGAAGTTGGGTGAAAAGAGCCCTGATTTGACTTTTTCCTGCGCTTGGTTCCCTGGTTCCTGCCCAGGTTTCTGACTCAGCACATGTTCCTAATTGCAAGTCTAATTTGCAGCCCTGTAAAACAAACTGTGGTCACAATCCCACAGTCACATTTCTGGCTCCTAATCCTCACCTATCATCAGCTGGCGGTGAGAAAGGAGACAACAAACTCCGGAGTCTGAAAAACACTCTTTTAAAGACTTACCATAATACTTCTCTGCCCCAAAGAGGATATTTCAGTTTTCAGTTGGATTTTCCCAATTCACAATCTAAGCTCTCCATCTGAGAGTTTCTATCCCACACTCTGGCAAGGCAGGAGGGGATGTGGGTCTTTATTTTCTTTCAGCTATAGGACACACAGGGAGCAACTCTTTCCCTCAATACACCCAGCACCAGCATTGCATGTGGCCTCTCCGATGTGGGAGTTTTGCTCAGCAGATGACACTGGCAGCTTGCAAAGAGCTGATGGTAATGCCAGTGGTGTCTGTAAAACAAGAAAAATAAAGAGATATAAAAAAAGAAAATCTTGGTTATGGTATATGAGTTATAGACATTTTCTTTTTGCCTTCTAGACTGATCAATGGTCAACAAGGAATCACTATTAAAAATTATAGTACAAGATCACTTCTTACTGTTACCAATGTGACAGAAGAGCACTTTGGCAACTATACATGTGTCGCTGCCAACAAGCTAGGGACGACCAATGCCAGCCTGCCTCTCAACCGTAAGTAACGTGGACATGTGGCCAGTGTTCATGGGTGTTTTTTACACAGACATGGATTCAAAAGCCAAAAAGTAGCCATGTGTTTTTCTCCCCTCTAAATACCATTGCGTTCCTCAATACTGGAAATGATGCACCTGGTTGATTATCCCGTGCCGCAGGAGGGTTTCTGCTCTGAAAGTGGTGGCAAGTTTTGGGGATATCGATGAGTTATAGATCTACCAAAAAACTCACAGCTAAACCCAACCCGCCATCGTGGGGTAGAGGCAGAATTGGCACAGCAACATCTTTCTGCTCAGAAGGGCAATGACAGATCCCTAAGGTACCACTGTAAACAAAGGTTAGAACTTTCCACAAGGATTTCCAACAAGGAGTATCCTGAGCTGAAGAACTGGGATGTGCTAGAGCTCTGCTCACAGCTCGGTTTGTTGGTCATTGGCCTCTGGTACAGGAGCGTCTCAGAGGACTTGAGGTGGAATCTTTTGGAAAAGACAATAAGCATTGTAAGAGGCAAAGCATCACAATTATCAGCATGGAGGTTGCCTAAAATGGGTCTCAGATATCCTGTTTGGAAGGTATTTTTATCTGTGAATTGGTAGTGTTTCACTTTGTTGAATATTTAGCCTTCTGCTAATGGCATCCAAAGATATTTGGAGTTGAACTCTGGTGCTGAACTATCTGTTCTGATAGTGAATAAAACTGAAAGACAAAACTCAGAATATATCCTACATGTTTTTTTCCACATAAAGATACTCCTTACTGAGCAAAAATGTACATTTTCAGTTACTTAAATCCTACAGTTATTGCCTTCTAGCCATGAAACTTCCTTCTGAACATATTCCCTGTATGATGTGTATTGTCAGGTTATTCTAAATTTCTGCAGAAGAGCTGTAATAGGCAGAAAACAGCACAGAGCCTTGGCTGCCATATATTTAATATTTGAGGAATCATTAACAAAGGGGGAACGACATTGCACTTACTTTAAACAGAAAATGCAAGTGAAAACAAAGGAATATTATGCCAGAAGGAGATGGAATTTGGTGTATTTGCAATTCAGAGAAGGGAAAATGAAGGTCTGGCTTCATTTGAACAGAGCAGAGCTGAATCTCTCTCTGAGCTGCTGCCAGGATATTATCAGTCTTATATTGTGAGGGGCCATCCTTAAAAAGCACTTTGGGATGCAGAGGTTGAAAATGTCATATAAGTACCAAGTACCTTGTTACAAATCATAAAAATAAATGTTCTCCATCATGAAAGAGATGGGACGTGTGAAGCAGAATGGTCTGAGAGAAAATGCTGAAATCTGGGTCTGATCCTGACCTCAAGAAGGAAATGGGGGATGATGTTGGCTCAGAGGTTTGACTGAAAGACCAAGATGAAATGTCTTATTTTATACTATGGTTTTTTTTTTAATATAGTCAAAAAAGGAGAGATTTCTGAAGGTGGTGATCTAGATTTGGTTGGGAATGAAAATAATTTGGTGGAGTTTTTCGTTGCTGATAATTTACATTAATCTTATCTAGGAATATTATAACTACAAAAAAAAAATCACAGGGTAGCAACTTGTTAAATGTGAATTCCTTAATCCTTCAGAGAGAATTTTCCCTTGTGAAGCTGTACTTACATTTAATTTTTTTGGCAACGATAGCAGAACATATGTGCTGGTTCAGGTATGTGCGAAGGAACTGGGAGCACTTCCTGGCTGGTTGCAACATTCAGTAGTCAAATGTAGGGTTAAATGTAATTTGATCATCATGTTACTTGAAAAAAAGTGTTAAAAATTAGAGTTTATGATTTATTTCAGTGTGTGTTTTAGTCTGTAATTGCACGGGGGAGATGCATTGGGAGATGCAAAACTGAGGTGCACTTTTGGGCACCACAATATAAGAAAGATATGAAGCGATTAGAGAGTGTCCAATGGAGGGCAATGGAGATGGGGAAGGGCCCTGAGGGGAGCCATGTGAGGAGCAGCTGAGGGCACTTGGTCTGTTAGGCTGGAGGAGACTGAGGGGAGACCTCATTGCAGTTACAGCTTCCTTGGACAGGCACTGATCTCTGCTCTACGGGCACCAGTGGCAGAGCCCAAGAGAATGTCCTGAAGTTGAGTCAGTGAAGGTTTAAGCTGGATCTTCGGAAAAGATTCTTCCCCCAGAGGGTGGTTGGGCACTGAACAGGCTCCCCAGGGCAGTGGTCACAGCACCAAGGCTGCCAGAGCTCAGGGAGTGTTTGGATGATCCTCTGGGGCACCTGGTGTGACTCTTGGGGATGGTCCTGGGCAGGGCTAAGGGTTGGACTAGATGATCCTTGTGAGTCCCTTCCAACTCATGTGTTCTGTGGTTCTGTGATTTTATGTGGAATGGTTGGAATAACATCCCTGGTGCAGTGATTTGGGACCCCCACCACACATCCCGCTGCTGTCCTGTGGAAAACCACCACAGGTGTGCAAAGACATGGGAGAGGTTGTCACAACCCTACAGCTGGAGCACTTGAACCCTTGAGTGTGGATACCTGAGCTTCGACCCTGAGCACAGAGCACCCCTCTGGTATCAATCAGCACCTTGTGCAGCATCTCTGGGAACTTGCCAGTTGGCTGCTTCTTTCTGCTCTTAGGTTGGGGTTTTTAATAATAATGTGTGTAGCACAGTTAGAAAATCTGTATTTTTTTCTTTGCACATCCCCCTATAATACATAAATGACACAGAAGCTGTGCACAGCTGGGGACCTTTCTCAGGGACAGGACTAAGCCTGTTCTCCATTACTGGTGTCTGAATTCAATGCAGATATAAAACTCCAGGATACCAGAACAAGGATTATTTCATCTACTATGGAGAGGCTCTGGGTTTCTGTGATCCATCAAGGCAACCTTGAGCTAACAGAAAGTCATGAAGCAGGTTAGGGGATGTCAGGACAAGGTACAAGCTGACTTTGTGTGTCTGGGACATGGACTGAACCAAGGAGATGGGAAGTTAATGGAGCTGTCCCAGACAGTGCCCGTGGGGTGATGAGGCAGGAGGAGAACCTGTCTGGGGTTTGGCTAGTCCCCAGGGCCAGAAGACACCCAGCAGGGACACTCAGAGCTGCTTCTGTCCTGGGGACAGACAGCCAGATCAGTTTGCAGAAGAACCTCGTGTCTGGGGAGTTATGAACATCCCAGATCCCAAGAACATACCGGAATTTATCATCTCCCTAACTGAGGACTTGTTGGCCATGTCTAAGATCCAGCTATTAATAATAAATGCAGCAGCTGTAAAAGAGAAAGTCGGAGCCTTGCGGGGAAAATGCAGAGAAGCAGTGGTTCCAAAAAGTGAATAATGAATGGCAATTTGCTAATTATTCATGGCTGAGTCCTCTGGATCATCCAACTGCATTGGGTTTTCTGGGGAAGCGTTTGAAGTGCGTGATCCCCCCGGAGCATCCACGGGAGGCGTGTTTGGACAGTCCCACACTGGCATCTCTGGGCCTAATTGATCAGATATTTAGCACTGCCTACGCTGGCTGTTCCCAGAATTTCTGATACTTAAGAAGAAGAAAAATATAGTCCTTTCCTGTAAATAAAGTTTGAATTTGCTGATTCATTAAACCCAGGAGATGAGGCTTTACAGCATAGACCCGGGGCAAGAGGTTCCCTCTCCAGGGGTGAGGAGGCAGCGGGGAGCGATGGAATAGCCCTTTTTAATTAAGTACATTTGGCTTTTAAATTAGTGCAATCTTAACTCAAGACAAAAGGTATTTTCCTACAGACAGATTTGCAAGGCCATTGTGAGGAGAGGAATTGTCATTAACCATTGGCAACCAAAGGTTTATTCTGGCGTTTTTCTCAAGCAGCCAAAACTGAGATGGGTCTATTGCTGCTAAAGCAGCCACATCCTTCCACAGGTGTCTCCTGTCCTCGTGCTCTCCTGACTGGAGGCCACAGCTGTTGGTGAATTTCCTTTCTCTTACCACAGCTGAGTTGTGGCAGAAGGTTTTTCCTCCCTTTCTGTGACGAGGATGAAGGTGGATCTTAGCCCCTGCTCCCCACAGTGGGATGTGGGGTGAGATGCTGCCACCACAAGCACCTGTGAATGGTGGAGATCCCAGGTCAGGCATGGCACAGGGTTCAGCTCAGCTCTGCAGCACCGGAGTTCCAGTCTGTTCCAGGTCCTAGGGTGCAGCAGTTTGGTATCCTGGTTCTGTCAGGGGTGCAGTGCCACTCCACACCTCGGCAGGCCTGGCAGATGGAGGGCATTAAATCTGTAGATTTAATCTGTACATCTATAGAAACTATAAACCTACCTCAGAGAGTTCATAGGGGCCTTAAATTCACTGTGACATGTGGTCTCTGTGTGTCCCCTGAAGACACATTACCCACAAGTCTGGATTCACCTTGCAAAAAATTAAAATAATCATTACTCCTCTATTAGATGTGTGCGTGTGTATTCTTAAGTAAAGGTATTATTTTTATGTTCTAAAGAGCACCTTCCCTAATATTTTTAAGAATCCTACAAATAATTTGACTGGTAAGGGGCACATTTCCTAAGAAAATTTGCAATCCAGAGGAAACATCCATGTCCATTACTAATAGCTGCCAAAGGAATTACTTCTTTCCATGGCTGGTTGTATAATGCAAAGGTATTACTCATGTCCAGGTTTATACAGAAATCTGAGATATATTGCTAGTAATTGTGCAAAAAATGTAAATAGTGGGGAATAGCTGCCCAAAAGTTCAAGAGGGACATTTGGAAGGAGAAGGAGCCTGGCAAGGTGTGCAAGAGATGCGGTACTATTTTCTGTACTAATTTAATTACTGCAGCTGAACACAACTGCTTTACTGAGGAAGCATCCGACTGTGAGCTCATGGTTGGTGCAACACACTTATAATCTTGTCTCCAACATTCCTGCGTGCTGGGAGCGCCAGACCGTGCCCTCAGTTTACGTGCTGATTGCCTTGTGTACTGGTTCCTACATAGAGATTCCTAATTAAACTGCTGGATTCGTATTTTTAATACATCGGGTTTCATACT